TTCGTTCTAGTGGATTATTGGAATTCAAATTCCGCTTAATTAATCAAACTTAGACCTCCACCACACTGTATTATTTTACAAGGGGAGCTCGATGTAATAAAATATACAGATTAATGTATGGTTAATAAAACATAAGTAATATCCCTGTAAAGGTAAATTTCTTGGCTAAATAGCCAACCGCTCGGTAAGACAGACAGCGAAGTGCACTCAGAAAAGAGTCAGCTGAATATTTTCCTCTCAACACAAGTTTTGTTTGATAACTATAACCAAATCGTGTATCTATAACTAATTCACGTGTTGAGAGAAACATATTTAGTTGACGTAACTGAACTCTTTTCGCAATGTGTGATAAATCTTTTGACCCATTGAATGCTTTACATTTATATAGACGCTGGTTCAGATATGTACCCCTATTTTTATTGTATTTATTTATCATTGCTCCATATTTTTTCGAAGCAACACTTTATTTCCGCGACCATCTGCTGACTTTTTTCCGTAATCGCTAATTTCATTCCAATCCAATTTAACTTTAAATAATGCAAGAAATGCGCATGCAACTTTCATGCCACGTAGTTAAAACAACAGACGGGTGGTTTGACCGCCAGCCGAGTGCATACCGCAAAAAAAAAGTAACTTTAAAAAATCTTAAATATCTCACCACCATATGCAACCAGTGTTGAAATGGCGAGTGCCAACGAAAAAGTGAGCCATAAAATTGAAAAGCAGATGGTGACGTGGGCGGTGTTGTGTCAGCAATGGATTTCCAAAAAAAAATACTTTGGCCTCTTTTCAGCATTGCAAAGTTTAATTTCGTGCTATGCCAAACAGCATGTGGCGCAGAGAGAAGGGCAAGTTGAAGTTACTAGCACTTACAAGTACATATGTATATGTACGTAGAAGAAAAGTTGCTTAAAAAAGTGCAAAGCAAAAAAAAGTGATAGCAGCTGTTGTTGTTCTGCCACATGCAAATGTGCTATGCGCCAATTTGCGTGTGTCAAAGATGCTGCAGCTAAGCGAGTTGGTTTTTGAGTTGGTCTGTGCTGCGGTTGTGCTTTTGGCATATGTTTTTTTGACCTGAGCTGAAGAAAATTGTTTGCTGCGTACTGCAAGCAACAACTGTTGCTGAAATTATATGCAGTGCAGTTGCACGTTGCAATAAGTCGCCAATAGCGAGCGTAATTACAAGTTCTTATCACTGTAATAAGTTTTAAATTTTATATTCTTAAATGCTTATTAAATGAGCGCAGGCATATATTTACCAACCCATTTACAATATGGATAGCGATTGCGAAAAATATGGCATTAGGGAAAATTTAAATAAAAATGCGATCTAAAAATTTTAAGGATTCAAAGAAAAAAACTAAAATTTTGTTGACCTTTTATTACTCGTTGGTGGTCGCCACTTGATGATTCGCTTGATGAAGGAACTGGTATTTTGGAGCGCGCTTTGATGAAATGAAGAGGAAAAAATTGGAATAAGCGTAAATAATTAAAATTAAAACGTATATACGTAAGTACAATATACAATTACATGCATTCTTGCTCGCGTATAGTACAAAAGTATGCACGAATCCACGCCTTACAACTCTATTAAATAGTTAATGGTGACAGTCCAAGCAAGTGTAGACACCTACAGTGGGTTTACTATATTAAACTGTAACAAAAAATATATTAAATTTCTGGGCATTTTGCTTTGATGTATAAACATCTCTGCTCATTTTATGGACAAAATTTGTGTAAACCATCACTCGTAAACTAAGATGAATTTTGAAGTAGTAACAATAATAGCAAATCTAATCAGCTGCTCTAGCAACACTGCTCGTTTATACAGTATTTCGGACCCAGTTCGGCTCGAGATCATTTCGGCGCTAGTTTGGGACCAGTTTAGGCCTAGGTCGGGAATTTTTTGGGGCTAGTTTGGGGCTTTTTCTTAACTAGTTCGGACCCAGTTCGGCACGTTTGCGAGTCTAGTTCGGGAGAATTTCGATACTAGAGCTCGCTTTACTCTGGATGCCAGGTCACTCGGGAGTATCTGGTATTGAGACATCCGACAATTTGACCAAGGTTGGCTCAGACCCGGCATTCCTCGGTCCGAAACCAGTTTGAGCACACCCCACTTCGGCCATCGAAGACACCATCAGAAACTGGGTGAATACTTCGCTCAGCAATGACTGATAGGTATCGAGGGGCTGCAGGTGGGCACAACTCATGTTGGCTTCAATCTCAGAAGGTATATCTAGTTTTCCGCTTTCACTGAGTAGACGGGACTGGAGACAACTTTTTGGACTGCTGACCGGTCACTTCATGTGGCACAAACACCATTTGCCCATCTTGCCTTGAAGAGGATGAGAAGGTGGAACACTTATTGTGCTTCTGGCCGCGATGTGTTGAGAGACGAACACCTGAGCTCTTTGACACCCAACAATCTGCTTAGGTTTATTCGTATATCAGAGAGCAGAGAGTACAATGGACGGCATGTCGTCTGAGCGGTGTATTCTGCACGCGTTGTTTTGTGCCTAGTTCCGACAATAAAACCTGGCACGCATTTGTTTTCTGTACACACACATTACATGATTAAAAGTCATAATACAAATTATCTTGCGAATTACTTCGTTTATTGTTATTTATTGATCGCTTCGAAAAGCAAGTCATCGCACGATAGCAAGCGACTTGATATAACACCACATGATCAAAAATTAAATCCACGAAAGAACGGAAAAATTTGTTTTTATTTGACCTTTTTCGACCTCTGGTGACCATCATTATTATATACTATTCATATGATAAAACGTCATACGCCGTCGGATCGCGGTCGACTGAAAACATGTTGTATCATTTATGGGCTTATAATATGCAAACTTTTGCGGGCAATTTTACCTTTTACATACATATTTCATTAAAATATGTACATACATACTTACAATACACGACTCTACATCATAAGATTAAACGTCGCATCACCAATAAATTTGTTACCACTTTCCGAAAGCTTTGTTCACAGCTCTTGTCAGACCCTTCGTTAACAAAAGTCAAATTGTTATGAATCACATCACACAATATAATTTCGCATGATACGATATCATGCGATGTCATACTGTATCACATGACAAAAAGTCGCTTCTTTTTTTATAAAAATATTTCTTAATCTGCTACCAAGTTACCAAAGCACATATAAAAAATACATTCCAATTAACACATGACCTCATGTCATATAATGCCATATCATGGCCAAATCAGAACGCCATCACCGTCTTCGTTACATTAAGTGTAATTTATTTCAATAAAACTCAACTTAAACTATGCCAAAAACAGGAGATTTTAAATTTGTTTAACCATCTTCAGAATATTTTCAAACTAAAATTGTCTAAAATCACGCGCGGCAACCCTTGTACAACACCCCAATAATATTCTAAATATTCAAATTTAAATTTTCGTTTGAAATACATATTTTAATATTTTAGATAGCTTGCGAATAATTAATTTAAATTTGACTTTTCAAACAGGTGGCAGCCCTTTTCAAAATATTTTCTGAGCCCCTTTAAAGTAAGGATTATAAAATTATTTCTCGTTCAAAAATTTCTGCCAAAAAAATTTAATTTTTCATGATGTCATAGCTTCCGTCTTAAGTTGACTGATCACATGATTAATCACGTTTAACTTGTTTTGCCAATTACTTTTATATCTACACATAAAATATGTACAAATATCAGTTAGTAAAAAATTGTATAAACCATTTGCTACGAAAAATCGCAATCATTGAATGTTTCTGGTTTATAATTTTTTTAGCCAGGATATTCCAGCAAACGAAGTCACTGTTCATCACCACTGCGAGTAACAATGTTGCCGCACCGCGGCATGTCCAGAGTCACAATGCGAGTCATATTAATAGCATTCGTTGCGCTCATCAAGAAGCGACTAGCAACAGTATAAAACGAAACAAAAATAATAATAAGTTCCAATAAAAAACAAAAAATATAAATTTGCCAGCAGTGAAGCTCAAAAAAGGCGCAGGCAGAAAATAAGTCACCAAAAGAACACCAACGCGCGATATGCCACAGCGTGCATTGCATGTGCCTCACCACCATGGGCCAGCCATGGACCAAGAAGTACGTCACTGACTGCAACGAGGCGTAGGGTGCAATGCAGTGTGGGACATCAAACTTGTTTTTTTATAAGCTTTTTTTTTCTTCTACTGCCAACAACAGAGAACACTTGAGCGGCTCAAATGCGGTTTCCACCACCAAAACCAGATCTAAAGGTAAATTCAAAAAAAAAAAATTCTTCAACAGCCTTGGTGACGCGCTCTTTCGCCGCATACGCTCTCTTTGTTATAATAATTTGACGCTCTTTGGTACAAATATTTTCTCTTTTTAATTTTCTGCTTTGGAAAAAATAATAAAACTTTTTTGTGTTTGCACAAGGTTGGCAAAGCCACCAGCCTTTTGCCTAGCAATGTGGAGCCACACACCGCCTTTGTTTGTGTATCGCTTTTGGCTCCTCCAGGCATTTGCTTCTGTACTCCTGCATTGTTGTGGCTAACATTGCATTGTTGTCATCGGCGAGGTGTTGGAGCTCACGTGAGCGCATGTGTGGTGTGTTTTTCTCCATAAATGTATGTACTGTACATACCATATTTGGGTGAATTTCTCTGCTTGTGCTACTGCTACATTAACATGGCTCCACATTGGTACGCCTGCCTGGCGGTTAGCTGCTTGGCGCCTCTTCGGTGGGTTGCTCGCCTTCCTTCATCCATAATACATGCAAATAAGTATGTGTAAGTGCTTATGTTAAGTAGTATGTGTTGGCGTCTTGTTTGCCCGGTTGGTTCTGTTGTCGTTTGTTTGGTGGATTATTGTTCGTATGTTGGCTGTTGTTGTGGTGCTACTTCGATTGCCTTCTGCTTGCTACTTTGGCTTTGACTATGGCTGCGCCTGTGGCTCTGGCTGTTTCTGTTTTATGTTTTTAACTCCACTTATCCATTCGTTTGGGTTGTTGTACTCACACGTCTGGAGTGAGCGCTCATTACGTATCCAACATTGGTGGCGTACGTTTCGGTTTGGATAAATTCACGCGTGTCAGCGGTTCGATACGATTCGTTCATTCGTCGATTATTTAATGGAAAAATACTTTCTTGTGCGATATCGCATTTACGGTTGTTGATTTAAAAAACAAAATAAACTGATTTTCGTGCGTGCTCAATAGTAATTTGCGTGCGCTTTTTTTTATAAAGCGAATTCTGTGAAACATTGCGAGACTAATGTTTCAACTAAAACATATGAAAAGTGAATATTTTTCGAAGTGATTTCGAGTGGAGTGGGGTGTGAATATAAACGGGAAGAGCTTGCGTTTAAGTTGATTCCTTAAAAGAGTACTAAAAATCCGCGGATTTCCACTTACTGTGAATTTTTATAGGAAAAAGCTTTCATCTGCATAAAAAAATAGATTTTTAAAAATTAAAAATAAACAAATAAGCAAAAGTGACGTTTAAGATAACAAATTTACATATGCGTTTATGGCCAATTTATACAATAGTTGTGTCATTTATGCAATAATCGGTTGCATATTAAATTCAAATATCCAAAAATTCCAAGTGAATATGTACTAACGAGTTAACTGTTAAAAGTCAAACTAAACGGTACGGGCGTAATACTACAAAGCGGCACAAAAAAAATACATGGAAAATATCAGTGCTATTTGAAACATAAGGCTAAAAATAATGCAATCGATTTTACTTTTCAAGCCTCATGTTGATTTAATAAACCAATAACAAAACAATCCTATGAATCTGGCATTTCAAACATACACAATTACATACTAAAAAAAAGTTTTATTTGAGAAAAAAAAGTCGAAAAGATCACGTGTGCAAGAAAAAGTTTTATTGCGGGTTATTTTTACTAAAAAAAAAAAATATTAAAAAATAATCCGTAAAGTGACAAAAAACTTTTCTATACCAGTAAATCACAATCTACCAGAGGATACACAATGGAGTATAGAATCCACTCATAGGCAGCATGTCGCCATTTTGCGGATAGCATAACGTCAACTGGCTAACTGGCTGTAAGTAATAAATACTAGACAACAACAAAAACAAGATCCCAGCGTAAATAAGGAAAATGTTAAGAAAAAATTAATAAATTTAATACAATTGGGCGGTTCAGTATATGTTTATGTGTATACAGCAATGCATTTGCAACACTAATTGCAAAAAAAACCAGCTGATATATAATCAAAACAAATAAGCAAAAACAACCAACAACAAGGTTCACCCAGTAAAAAAAGATTAAAACGTAAAAATCCAAACAAAAAGTGGGCGGAGGAGGAGGTCACAAAAATTTTCGATTACATACATACTTACATAGGTATACAAAATTGGAGCAAATTAAAGCAAATGAAATTTGCTGCGATGGCTGCTTTTGCACTGGTATGGAGCGGCAATTGCTCTTCCAAAATTACTTACTAGCCGGTTTTTCGTTTATTTGGAATGGGTGCTTTTCTTCAGGGGTATAGAATTTTCTAGAGGGATAACTGTCAAGTCGAACACATGTGTTTGACATTTCTTATCAGTATACTTTGGCAAATTACCATGCAAAGCCTTATGTATATCGAAACAATCGTAGAAATCTATTTTCAAATCGTAGAAATCTATTTCCGAAATTCGAGCGCTTCCCACTAATAATTCGTGAGTTTTTGCCTTCCCACTTCAATACCAATTCGTCCCGAATTTTGTGCCTTTTTGAAGATAGTGTGCGTTATGCGGGTTCTAAAATAGAACTAAATGGGGTTTCTTCAAAACGAAAGTCCTTAATTTTTAGCGGATAGCATTAAGTAATTAAGAGCTAAAAATAGGAACTAAAAAAAAAAAAAACAATTTTCGCTGACCTCCAAGATTTTTAGAAAGCACTCTTATAACTAAAATCAATAACAGCGCTCTTACACGATATATATATGCTAATGCTACTTTTTGGTATCTACTCGTATGCACCATATATTAGAATGTATAAGATAGTAGCAAATACATATCGTGTAAGAACTCTTTCAGAAATTTCACATAAAATCAACAAGGAATCTCTATGGAATTTTTTTAGTTTTTCCGATTGATTTACCCCTTTGCCTAGACACTTTTCTTATAGACAATCTTCTTGTTCCTATAGGCCATATTTCTCTGTATGCCTTACTTTATTGGGACGAAATTTTGGTGACCTAAACGTATATCGATCAAGAGACGGGCCTGTAAATTGGCTACCTGCATCAATTGATAACGGAGTCAGTTAGACTACTTCTTGTCGGGATACGTCAAGACAATACTCTATGACGATAAACCACCTATGACCGACCAGCTGGAAACCAACATTCGGCGCGTGATTGCTGGAAAGGATTGTAGAAAATTGGACCTAGCGTGGTGGACATTAGCGCGAAATTGTATTCAAACACTAAATGCCATGAAATTTTCGAACTATCAGGTCTTAAGAAGCTAATGCCGGATTTCCACTGCGCATTGAATGAAACATTTTTTTATTTATGAAGTGGGGTATTAAAAAATATTCATGCCATTACTTTGTAAATATAAGTCAATAAATCCGTTTACACATGGCCCATTTTCAAATGACATAAATTTTTTCTAATTTCTATGCCTAGTGGAAATTCGGTATAAATCACATAAAAAGTCTCAAACTACATACTTTCCAAAAACAGTGCACATAAAATATTATAAAGTAAAACAAATCTCAACTTTCAAATGGCAAAACTATGTGAAAAATACGAAATTTAAAAAACTAAAAAAAAGCGTTTCAAGTGGAGGCGCCCTCATCAGATAGCCCTAAATGCACATGCACACGTACATACATGTGTATTTTGTCGAGTGCACCTAACATACTTACAAAGGATTTTAGCGAGCATACACTTTTCATATACATACCTACATACATATGTATGTATGTACTTTGTTGCAAGTACTTAAAGGCTTGCAACATGAGCACTTTAAAAACTATATATCATAAGTGTGTAATAAGAGTCGTTAAAATAGGCAAGTGCACCGCGCTGTACATACATATATGCATACGTCGAAAACACGCTCAAAGCCAGGCACATGTACACAGCCCCATAATGTTGCTGATAAACCGCTGGTGGGGTCATCACGAATAGCTGACCTGCATTAATGAGAGTGTGAGCATATGGCAGCATAAGTAGTCGGCGACCCAAAAACTCTTGCATATAGGTTGCATGCAACAGCCACTTGCAAGCAAACGTAAATACGGGAATGAAACAAATTTTAATTTTGCTTATTATGTTGGTATACAAATTTCTTGAGTCAAATTCATTGGTATTGGTGATGCAAAGAGAGTTGCTCCAAGCTCGAAAACAATTTAAGAAATTGGCAAAAACAAAGACAAATGACTACAAACCGTTTCGCTTTAATAACTGCTATAACTATGCTTACTCCTCTGTTTGCCAAAAAAAAGCCAAAAAAACAAAAAAAAACACGAAATAAAAATAATCAAAAAATTTCAGCAGCCATCCTCTGTAGTTGCAACATCTACCTAACTGCCCATTTGCGTTTAAAAAAAAAAAACTTGCATGCCACAAATTGCCATTTACTGTTACCAATTGACGAATTACTACACTTAACCATTTGCCCTGCATTGCTTTGGCACTTTTTGCGTCTGTCTAGCAACATATGTTTGCTGTGCTCTTGCACATAAACAGGCATAAATATGTCTGAACATATACACTGCCCGAATAAAGTATTGGCACAGCAAATTTTTCACAATATATGCAACAATTTTTGTTCTAATATTTTTCCGCCAATTATACTACAAAAAAAACATAAAAGTACAATAGTACAATTCTTACCCTTTGTGCAAAACTCGCGAAAATTCAGGAAATTTTCAACTTTTTAATCAGATTTTTTAGAATTTTTTAGAGTTTGCAGTTAACGCTGAATTTTGGCAATTTTTTTTCTCGCAGTATCTTCCATACACAATTTTTTTTTTCGAAAATACTTTGGAAAAAATGCAAAACACCTTCAACAAAAAAAATTCTCAAAAATCAATGCGAACCTGCATGCAAAAGTTGAAAATTTGCTGAAATTCGCGAGTTTTACACAAAGTTTAGGAATTGCATTTTTATGTTTTTTGTTGTAGAATGAACCATATTTTTATTGAAAATCGGCTGAAAAATATTAGGATAAAAACGGTTGCATATATTGTGAAAAATTTACTGTGCCAATACTTTGTTCCGGCAGTGTACCTATATGTATGCACATATTTGCATATGAAGGCATTTATGTTTGTTGTACATATGCTGTTGTCATTTTTGTCAATGACTGTTATTTAGGCCTTCCTCGCCCATTCCATTTCGTGTCGCTTTTTTGGGCTGACTTCTGCGCTTTGCATTCTTTCATCGATTTGCCGTGTTTCTTGCATTTTCACACGTTTACGTTGTCGTTTATTTCTTGCTATATTTTTTGCTTCATGGTTTTTTGACAATTACTTGTAGTTATTGACAAGAATCTGTTGGAAGCTGCATTTGGCATATTGCATAGCTTTTTTTTACGTTTTGCTTTGACTACTGTTTTCTGAAGTTTTAAATTTACTTTTACCGCTGGCTTAAACTTTCAATGTTTGCGTGTTGCTTATCATATCTTGGTTTTTTTTTGTATATCTTAAAAATACTCGTTAGTAATGAAGACCTATGACTTTCCAATTATGTAATGCTGCTTTCTTATTAAAACTGAAAAAGGAAAATTTTTGTATGAATGTGTAAATATACATTAATATGCAGGCATATATATCGTTACCTAAATATAAAAAGGCCCTAACTCATATAGTCACTGAAATACAAAAAAACCGTAACTAACAAAAGAATTGTATTGCTTAAAATGATGTGGGGACTTAGAATTCGATGAAATGCATCATAACACTATGCGACAGTCAAAATCGGGATGGGATGAAACCAACATGAAATGTTATATCGGTCAAAAACAAGTTACCCAGTTACAAGTAAACCATTAGTCCGATTTTGCTCAAACAAATTTAAAAAAATTAAAAATTACAATTCCTTTAATCTGTTCATATAACGTTTTTCTATATAATCAACAGTTTTGCCGGTAAAAATAAATGTATGAAGAAAAAAAATATTTTTTGCCTAAAATATTAAATTTTTTTAAAACTATTGATTATATAGAAAAACGCTATATGAACAGATTAAAGGAATTGTAATTTTTAATTTTTTTAAATTTGTTTGAGCAAAATCGGACTA